TAGAACAATTCCAATAAGATAATCAGACAACAGGAAATCTTTGACAAAATCTATCCCCGGGTTCAAGTTATTTCAGAAGAGGGACTTTTAAATAAAAGTCCCTTTCGTGAGTTCCCGAACAATAATTAACGGCGTGTAGTTTCATAAGTTAAATATAGACATCTTTCTCAGCGAAGAGGAAAAGGGAAATTAAAGCAATTGATTATTCCCTTACTCCATGATGTGCTGATGTATCCACCAAAGATGTATCTTCCCACACGGATAAAGGTCACTGTTGGCCCTTTGTTATCACACAATGAGTGGAAAGTGGAGGCAGCCCAACCATCCACAGATGCTCGCCAACAGCGCTTCCAGTAAGAAGATTTGCTCTGCCTTACAGATCCTAACCAAAAACGCAAAGTGCGCAGGTAGAGATATTTGTTTACTAGTATTGCTGATTGCTCCAAACCTTGATACGGAAGAGAAAAAAAGAAAGGGTTGTTCTAATTGCCCAATTTATAAGCGATCCACTGTAGTTCCTTGATCTCGGAACACAATTTGGGTCAGACGAAATGGATTTTTATTTTGCGATATCTGTAACGCTGGAGTCGTCTATTGTACACGTTTCATTATCAAGAAAAGCGATAAAAATTTCATTTGATATTCTCTATCAAGCTCCTCGTGACCAGAGAAAGTAACCAATGAGCATTACCTCCTATTCTACCTATTAACACCGTGGTTGTTGTCTCAGCCAATCCAAAGCTATTTGAAGCCCTGCAGATGAAATCTTCCTCAACGTTCTCTTTAATCGCGTAAGCTAAGAGACATCCATCGTCCTGAAAAAGCGTGAATGAGTCGGAAGTCTTTTGAGTCCGCAACCATTCGACTTTTGGACTAGGAAAACCTGAGGCCTCGCAGCAGAGGGTTACATTAGCTCCTAGCACTGTATTGACCATTGTAGGTGGCCTGTTGGAAAATTTAGGTGGCTCTGAAAAAAGAAGGCATATCAAATCGCTACACACAACAAGCTTGTTAAAAAGATTTTTAAATGTCTGAGCTAAAGAAGGCGCGAGAAAACTTATCATAATCGTTTGCTGGCTTGTGGCGTTACCGAAAAGAAAAGGAACACCAAAACCATCTCGGTTGGGATTTAGTCCTTTTGGATGTAACTGAACAAAGGTGATACTTAGATTATGAAAGATCCTACCTTTTAAATGTAACCTGGTTATTGAAA